GGGTCTCGAACCTGTGGGCACAAGCAAACCACTCACCTCAGCCTCTCAAAGGTGTGGGATTACAGGCTGAGCCACCGAACCTGGCAATTTTTCTTATTTTTGTAGAGATGAGGTCTCACCATGTTGCCTAGGCTGATCTCAAATTCCTGACATCAAGCAATCCTCCTGCTTTGTTAGGATTATGGGTGTCATCCACCACACCCAGTCAGATATTTCTTTTGTATGCATTATATAGCTGCGTCTTTTTTTTTTTTTTTTGAATTAGAGTCTCACTCTGTCACCCAGGCTGGAATGCAGTGGCACATTCACCGCCACTGCAGCTTCAACCTGCTGGGCTCAGGCAAACTTTCTGCGTCAGCTTTCCAGTAGCTGGAACTACAGATGTATGCTACCACATCCGGCTTTTTTTTATTTATTTATTGTACAGACAAGGTCTCACCAAGTTGCCCAGGTTGGTCTTGAACCCCTAAGCTTAGGCAATCCTCTCACCTCGACCTCCCAAAGTGCTGGGATTACAGGCTTGAGCCACCTCTCCCAGTCGCATCTTTTTTTTAATTGGAGTCACTCTGTCGTTCATGCTGAAGAGCAGTGGCATGAGCAGCCTTGACCTTCTGGGCTCAGGGATCCTGCCTCAGCCTCCTGAGTAGCTGGAATTTTAGGCAGGCACTACCACACCGGGCTAATTTGGGGGGCGGGTTTGAGTTGGAGTTTCACTCTGTCTCCCAGGCTTGTGTCCAGTGGCATGCTCACTGCCACCACACCCTCGATCTGCTGGGCTCAGGCGATCCTTCCACCTCAGCCTTCCAAGTGGCTGGAACTACAGGCACATGCCATCACACCCGACTAATTTTTTGATTTATTGTAGAGACAAGGTCTCACCAAGTTGCCTGGGCTGGTCTTGAACTGTGGGCTCAGGCAATCTTCTCACCTCAGCCTCCCGAACTGCTGCGATTATAGATGTGAGCCACTGCACAAGGCCCTAAATTTTTTGTTTTTGTTTTTTGTGCGGAAACAAGGTCTTACTAGTTGCCTAGGCTGGTCTTGAACTCCTGAGCTCAAACCACCCACCTGCCTCAACCTGCCAGACTGAGCTGCTGCACCCAGCCTGCTCATGATTTGATTATTCTCCCCCATCAAAATTTGCTGTCACCTAAGCTCTGAGCTCCGACCATCAAATCACTAACTATAGGAATTGGAATAGATAGTAATAACTAATAGAGGCTACCAGTCTATTTTGTGTTCAGACAAGTATATATAGATCTTCATGGTGTAGCATCAATTTGATATTTGAGTTAATGTTAGCTCTGGTTATTTTCATTAAATTTCATATCTAACTGGGATAAGCTTTGGCTTTATTTATTAACTAATTTTACAGAACAGTGCACACAGACCTTCGATGTTTGCTTAGGTTGCCAAGTACAAGGTTGTATGTCTTCATGAGTAGTCTATGCAGTGAAAATGCCTGTCAAGAGACCTTAAAAAACGGACTTCTCACGCCAGGCACTGTGGCTCAAGCCTGTAATCCCAGCACTTTGGGAGGCAGAGGTGAGAGGATTACCTGAGCCCACAGGTTTGAACAACTTGCTGATACCTCACCTCTACAATAAATAAAAAAATTAGCCGGGCACCGTGGTTCCCGCTACTTGGAAGGCTGAAGCGGAAGGATTGCCCGAACCCAGCAGGTTGAGGCTGTGAGTGTGTCACTGCACTCCAGCTTGTGTGACACAGTGAAACTCTGGCTCAAAAAAAAAAGGTTGACACTGGAGTGTCTGTGAGTGTGCCACGGCACTCCAGCCTGGGCAGCAGAGTGAGACTCCAACTCAAAAAAAAGAAAGAAAGAAAGAAAGAAATGTAGGGCCACCCTTGTGTGCATCGCTAATGGGAATGTAAAATGGTCTGGCTGCTGTGGTAATTTGACAGTTTCTCAAAAAATTAAACATAGACATATTTCCACCAATTCCACTGTGAGGTATACATGTATACTCAAAGGAATTGAAAGCAGTTATTCAAATAGTTACTTGTACACTTAAGTTCGTTATTCACAATAACCAAAAGATAGAAACAACCCAAATGTCTAACAACAGAAGAATTAAAAACAACAACAAAAATGTGTTATACATACAAAGGAATATTATTCAGCCTTAAAAAGGAATGGAATTCTGATACATTTTGCAACATGGGTGAATCTTGAAAACATTATGCTGAGTGAAGTAAGCAGACAAAAAAGGACAAATACTGTGTGAGTTCACTCAGAGGAGATACTTAGGGTAGTCAATTTCATAGATATAAAAAGTAAAATAGGAGTTAGGAAGGGCTTGGAAAGGAGATTGAGGAGTTAGTTAATTGGTACATTTTCTGTTTGGGAGGATGAATAAGTTCTGGAGATGGAGTGTGGTGATAGTTGCACAACACTGTGAATGTACTTAATGTTACTGAATTATACTCTTAAAGTTAGCTAAAATGATAGTTTGTTTGTTTTTTTGGTTCTTTCTTTGAGTCGGAGCCTTTTGCCCAGGTTGGAGTACAGTGGCATGATTGCCTTGACCAACTGGGCTCAGGCTATCCTTCCTCCTCAGCCTCCTGAGTAGCTGGGACTACAGGCACACGCCACCATGCTCAACTCATTTTTTGATTTATTGTAGAGACATGTTGTCCAGGCTGGTCTTGAACTCCTGGGCTCAGGCAATGCTCTTGCCTCGGCCTCCCAAAGACTACAGGCATGAGCCACTACACCCAGCTAAAAATGATAGTTTTTATGTTATATTTAGTACCACATTTAAGAAAAATCACCAATAAAGAACGAAAGAAAAAAGGGGTATATAACTAAAAGGTTTTGAACACATTTTCAAACCTTGTTGAATTAGATCCTGTTTTTCTGCCTGTTTCATGGCTGCTTCATTCCTCAGAGTTTCTATAAGGTAGTGTGGACTTAGTGTGTTTGAAGTTGCACTGGTGGATGTGGTTAGGTCGGAATCCAATGGTTTTGTTACAAGTGTTTTAGGAAGAGTTGAGAACACCACACCCAGTAGGTTTTCTTCTTACATGAATTTGAGGGGAGGGCGGGTGAGAGAGAGGTAGCTTAAAAGAGGGAAAACAATGCTCGCTGGACTAGCTGTTCCAACAAAGAAGCATGCTTTTGTGGCAAACTGAAAGGAAGGCTAGGAATCAAGGGTGATGAAATGCAGGCCTTCCGGCCCTCTCTCTGTTCCCGATATCTGGTTGTGGGAATCTGTTCTGAATCCAACTGCAAGTGGAAAACCCATCTTTGGCTGAGTAGCCAGGGAGGCCTTCCTGCCAATCCCCCAAATGTGCTGTTGAAACTTTGGCCCTGTGGGGCTGGAGCGAGGGCTGTCTTCCCAAGATCTGTGCAGCTGTCAAGGTGGCTGTGATGCGACTGGGACTGGCCTTTGCACTGCATTTTGGCGGTGACCTTGAGACCAGCCGGCTCACCACAGCTGCCCTGCTCCTCTGCCGCCGCGGTTGCAAGGCCAGGTGGCCCCCGGGAGGGAGACTTCGGGGTCCTTTTCCCCCAGGGTCTGGCAGGTGCCGACTGCGGTGCCAGCTCTTCCAGTGCTTACCGCACAGTGGGTGTGCACGGGCAGTCCAGGGTGTGGGGGGAGATCGTGGCTTGTTCCACCCCTGGCTCAGGTCCGGATTCCTGGGACGTGGGTGGCTCTGTCCGACCGCTGGGCTGTGCGCAGACGGGCTCCTTGTGGGGACCAGCTTGGCAGCTCTGCGGGGAGATGCTCACTGACAGTAGATCTCAGGAGAGAGAGGGGCCAAAGGTGCCCTATTTTCTCAAAGATACGAGTCCGAGTTCTTGTGGGGGGCCAGGGATTTTGCTGGGAAACGAAGGTCATCAGAAATGCCCAGAGCAAGAGAGAGAAAATGCTTTCTCTCCAGCCACTCAGAGTGGCAAGTGTATTTTGCAAACTCCTCCCCTCTCTTTTTGTCCCCATCCTGTCCTTTTCCTTTTAAGTGGCTTTATTGTTATTTTTTAATCCGCCTTTGTCATTGGACATTTATTGACAGAAATCAAACTGCTGTGTTTCTGGGCAAAGCGCCTGCTGCAGCGAGGTGTGGTTCCCGAGGAATGAGACACGCAGCCCAACAGCTGAGCCTACATTGTCCTCGCGTAACCTCCCTGCCTTAAATATCGCCAATATTTAGCCTTGCCTTATAAAGTAAAAATGCACAATACCTTCCAGAGTTTCAGCGAGCCCAGATGCCCCCCTGGGCTCCGCTATATCTCCTGTAGGTTGGAGGCAGAGCCGCGCTCCCCTCCCCCGCACAGACCTGCCCCGGGAGCCGCCGAGAGGCGACTAATCAGGGAGACTGCCATCGATCCGATGGTGGCGACCTGGGGGATTTGTGTGCATTGTTTTTGCTGAAGCCTCCTGTGATTTCGGCGCGACCAGATCCTCTGAGCGAACTCCATGTCGCAGCTTGTGGCTGCCTGTGTCCTGTGGTGAGAGCCGAGCCGCACAGGAGATCCTTTGTCTAGGAAGGGCTAGGCTGAGAAGATCACTTTGGAGTTGCTAAGCTCTGCATTGCCATTGGCTGCACTCTTTGTGGGGCTGTTTTTGCAAAAGGCATGCCCAGCACGTCTACAGTGCTGGCAGGCCAGGGCTGCCTTTAAACACCATGATAATAATACCAAAAAGCAGTTTGCAGAACTGTTCCACTGTAGAGGCTTCCTCTGCAGAAGCAAGCAAGATGGCTACCTCGTGGGCTTCGCTGTGAAGAATGCAGAGGCTAATTAAGACAGACTTTAAGGGGAAAAAAGGGTATTTCCCTACTTCATTTTTATGCAAGATTTTTTTTCAGTGATTTTTAAAGTGTACATTTTACATAAGCTCTTTGGGTTCTGCCTAGCAAACATGTTGATGATGTTAAATGGTATAAATAGTTTTACAGAGAAATAGCCAAAAATTTTGGGGAGATGGGAGCTAATTTTATTTCTTAAACAGAGGCTCATTTTGCAATTTGATTTTTTTTAGGTTATAAAGGAAAACAAGAGGCCCCAGAGGGAAAAGAAGCCCAAAGTTTTAAAGGTAATCAGCTGTTGATTAAATCATATTTAATTATTTTTTCCATTTCATACAGTATTTTTCGGTCACTGGGGGGTAAATTTGGAGTACAGTGGATGTGAATTCTCCCAGATTTTCAGTAGATACATGAATTTTCACTCAACTAAAGTGTTTTCTCTCTCTCTCTTCTTTTTTTGATGTGCTGCATAATGTGCATTTTAGCATCCTTTATTCTCAACTCCACACAAGTCTGCAGGAGGAAAAGTTTATTTGCAAGTGTTGTGAATAAAATTTGTTTTTCTTCATAGCTCCCTTTGTAGCATCTGCATTTGTGGTGTTGCACCGGTGTGTAAACTTAAGCTCTTTAGGAGAAAGGCACTATTTGAAGTTGACAGCTATGATCCATTGTGCTTGTAATAGACCATCCATTAAATACTATTTTAAAATGTGTGGGGTTTTTTTCTCTCCAAAGAAAAAGGTCCTTAGAGATTTTAGTTCAACTTAAAATATGTAAGCCATTGAGATCTTACAGCCAAATTATAATTGTGTGATCTCAAATTTTCATTATATCATCTTTAATTTTGGCATACATAGAGCTATGGGAATATGCATGTTTTCTTTATTTTCTGTAGTTTGGTGAGTATTTGTTAGTAACCTAATTTGGTTAGAAGCTAGCAGTCTGTGTTATGAGATTTGAACAGTATTTAGAAGGGTTAATTTAAAAGCATATGGTATCACTAAAAGTTCAAGGCTAGCTGTAGTCTAGCAAATAGATGCTTATGTGTTTAAGATTTCAAGTGGTATATTGCTTTTGTAAATGTAAGCAACCTTTGCAAGCCACTTTTTTAATTTTAGAAGAAATATTAAGTAATAAAATAACTGGCCTTTAACAGTTAGATTGTGTACATTTAACTTAAAATATTTTAACTTAATCATAGCTTTTCTTTTGTGAATAAAGTTTTTGCACTCAAAGAGGAACATGTTGAATATGAATGTGGCAGAATTTTATCTCATTTGCTTCCCCAGTTGTGTAACTTGAAAATGTTGACACAGAGAACCAAACCTTGTATTGCTTTCAAATTTGTCTGACCACCTTGAGTTTCTGCTTCCTGTGTATACACAGCATTTCCACCTACATTTTTTCATCAACCAACAACTATTTATTTAATATTTTACCACACAGTCAGCAATATGCTAGACACTGTGAAATGAGTGAAATTGCTTGACACAAATCCTCACTGGGCCTGGACAAATAGAATAGTGGTTATTTTCAAGGTAAATTAAACCCTCTTCTGTTTTTCTTCTTTGTACTGATCCATCCACCCCCTTTAATGCTCTTCCAACAACTATAGAAGTATATCATTACAAGCCCTACTTAGAGTTCCTAATCTCTTTCTACACTTTCTGTATTGGCTATATCCATCGCAGGTATTTTGTAAGAAATAACTTTAGTAAATGGCTCTCAGATTTGAAGAGGAGGGGGATGGACAGCAAGGAGAAAGGGATAGACTATATGGAGAAACCAATATAGACCAAGCCTGGTAGTTAAATCTCTTGCTTTTGCTAGGTAGTAGAATTGGACCTTGGAAGTACTATTTAATTCTGTTTATTTTGTTAGACTGTGGGTGTCCTGTCACCTGAAATAAATTTCAGAAATAAATATACCATGTGTTGCTTTTAGGGGTCATGGCAGTGGATGGACTCTGACTTAAAAAAAAATGCCTGTGGGTGGCCAGATTTCATCTGCCACAGCAAGTAGAACTGAACCTACTCATTTTCCTATATAGTTAGAGATTGTTGTACAAGAGTAGGGAAGTATCCTAAAAGGAAAAAAATTAATTTTTTCTGATGTTGACATTTTAAGATCTTTTTAAAAAACATTTTCTGTTAGAGCTGGGCATGGTGTTTCATGCCTGTAATCCCAGCATTTTGGGAGGCCCAGGTAGGAGGATTGCTTGAGCCAAGGAGTTCGAGACCAGCATAAGGAGACCTCATCTCTACAAAAAAGAAGAAAAAATTAAAAAAAAAAATATTAGGCAGGTACGGTTGTGCATGCTTGTAATTTCATCTACTGGGGAGGCTGAGACTAAAGGATTACTTGAGCCCAAGAGATAGAGGCTGTGGTGAGCCATGATCATGCTACTGCACTCCAGCGTAGGCGACAGTGAGACTCCTATTCAAGAAATAAAAAATTCTGTTAGCTATAATATATATTTTTATTTTCCGAAGAAAGCTTTGTTTCTCTGCTTCACAGTAGAAATCCTTTTTAAAAATTAGATTTTAGCTTGATGTGTGTAAAATTGAGCTGTAATCTTGAAGGAGATGTTTAGAAAATGAAATCTGAACTTTGGAGGAAGGATCAGAGACTACAACTGTCAGCTTAATGTTCTGTGGGTGACGACTTAGATGTTCCAGAGGGACGCTACCCAGGGAATCAGTGATGGGAATCTCACAGGTTACAACTTGGTCTTCTATCATAATTTTCTGTCATTGTGTCTGGCATCATGTGCAGAGAGCTAGTGTGCTTCATTTGACTCTTGTCTTCTTAGTTCTTCCAGTCTCCTGGGTCACTTGCTCTTTGTTAGGGTAGATGCTACAGGTATCTTGATTGACTTTTTATTTTTATTGACTATAAGAAAGTAGTTGTATAAATGAAGAACCTGATTAAAGGAGTTGGGTATAACCAGGCATGGTGACTCTAGCCTGTAACCCCAGCATTCTAGTAGGCCGAGGCCAGAGGATTGCCTGAGACCAGGGTTCGAGACCAGCCTGGCCAACTTGGCGAGACCTCGCCTCGATAATAAATCAAAAAATTACCCGGGTGTGGTGGCTTGCACCTGTAGTTCCAGCTACTTGGAAGGCTGAGGTGGAAGGATCACCTGAGCACAACAGGTTGATGCTTTGGTGGCCAAGAGCATGCTACTGCACTCCAGCCTGGGCAACAGAGTAAGACTCCAACTAAAAAAAAAAAAAAAAAAAGAAAAGAAAAATAAAAAATAAATTTGGTATGGAATCTGAAACTTGTTTCATCCTATTCTGAATCTGCTAACTACTGAATTCAGTTATGGGGCTGACATTGCCTGATACATCTCACATCTTTCCTTTTTAAAAATTATATTATGTATATTTATATCTATATTCATTTTATTATACTTCAGAATCAAAAACTATGAAAAGTGATCTCAAATCCCTGGCTAGAGAGTCTTTCTCCAGCTGAAATGATAGTTTTGGTCTAAAGAACAAAATGGCCAGAATGGGTATTGAATAATGGTGGGCCAGGGGTGGTTGGGGGGTATTTCAGCATCATCTTCCTGTTCAAGCCCTATTGTTGATTGCTGGAGTGATTTTCATATATAAATGACAGTTTGTTAGCAATGCCATCATTGGAAACAAGCGTTTCCTTGACTCTTGACTGAGGTAGAAGTGTGGTCTAGTTTAAGTCCTTGATTCATGAACTTGGGCTTATAAGAGAAGGCTTGAAATTCCTCTTGAAAGAAATACTTATGTAAATAATCTCTACTTTTTGTGTGGGGGAGGTGAGTAGGAGAATATATTCCTTCAGAGGAAGTCCATTTTAAGATAATATCAATTTAGTTTGATTGTCAGTCATTGTCCCTGGAGAAAATCAGATATCACCGTCAATTAGGGACTTGAACAGAATTTAATAAAGGGATTATTTTGAAAGCTGTGGGTTGGGTTAAGGAAAGAACAAGGGATGCCGAAGAATTCCAGGGCTAATGAAAGCAAAAAACTATTACTAATTCTAGGCCTGAAGGCACAAGGGAACCCGGAGCAGGAACCCTGAGGGAGCAGGTGCTTTGCTGTGTGGCCTTTGGTAAAGAGATGCTTCTGCAAGGAGCCAGGGGGATGGATATGTGAGAAATACCTTGTCCCCCAGTCTGCTGCTGCTTTCATTGGTTGATCCCAGAAACCAGAGAGAAAGAGAGCCTTCTGATTCAATACATCCTGGTCAGCCTCCTGGGGTATGAAGGTGGTGTAGAAGGTGAAGTGTGGACCCACAAGGGCAGATAGAACATGCTCAACCTCACTAGTGACCACAGGGACAGTATGATAGGGTCAAAAATAGTACTAGAACCCTGATTATGTAAGATGGTAACATAAGGCAAGGCTGAGTGAAGAGTTTATGAGAACTCTGTACTGTTTTTGCAACTCATCTGTCAATCTAAAATTTGTTTCAAAATATAAAATATAAGCATCCTTGAGAGGGGACACATTTATACATTCTGTAATTAGATACTCTGTCTTGTCTGGTAAGGAACCTTGTCTAACTATTTGGTTATAAAATACCATCAGAGTAGTATTTGGAAGAACTGGGTGAACAAATATAAAGAAATGTCAGTGGATATTAAACCAGGAAACTGTCTGCAGAGGCTGATTTAGAAAAGAAAGAAATGAAAACGAAGTAATCTTCCTGCGGTGGTTTTGCACTGGCTGCTCTGTTCTTCACTGTTTCCTTCCTTCCTTGATGATGCTGATAAAGAGACCAAGTGATGGGGGCAGATGGGAGGAAGGAGGCTGCATCTCACTAGGAGAGAGGGTCTGGACACTTGTTTGCAGCTATATGTATGAGTCTTTTTGAAACATGTTTTAGAAAGAGAATCGAATCACAAATGAATCACATTCATTCATGATCTTGATTTGCATTACACAGTGGCACTCTAAACATATAGTACCAATATGAAATGCTCAATAAGGATTTCTTTCTGAGCAACATTATTATTAGCATTCAGTAAATCATTTTTTGAGCACATACTAAATGCTGCTCCAGTTGAATATGAGACCAATGTAATTCCTGACCTCAAGAAGATGAAATGCTGCTGAGAAAGGCAGGCCAAAAAAAAAAAAAGAAAGAAAGAAAGAAAAGAAAAGAAAAAAAGGAAGGCAGGAAGGAAAGAAGGAAGAAAGACAAATGAATAAATGACAAATTGTGGTAAGTGCTTTGAAGGAAACAAAAAGTGCCTAGATGAAGGAAAACATCATCTAGGGAAATTTACCTCATTACT